TGTATGGAGTTCATTATGATAACCTAGCAAAGTGTATTTGAGTTTCCAGAAAAGTGCTATACCGATGCATGGTTATTATTATTATAATTTTTATTATTATTAATTTGTCCTAGATCTAAAACGCCTCCCAGGAAAGCATCAAAGGCATCTGAGAGGAGCAGCGTGTCTACTCCGAGCTCCTCCCGCGTGACAGAGCACCTCAAAATCCACACTTATGGACATCCTTTCCAAGACGACTTCTCATGGACTCCTATCTGAAAATCGTTCTTTGTGCGGCAGATCCATTGGATAAATAGTAAATGTGATGAAAGCATTTTGTAATTATAAGTAACAACTCCCGACCATGAGCACGCAGCATCCAGGCATAAATATCCAAATGTTTGTGGCATGAATCACGTCTGGCGCTGTCACACGCATGAGTAATACCACGCTCCAATACCAGACTGCTGGCAGCTTCTTCCACCATTAATCTGCTGATCCCTCTGCACTGACAGCAGCACTGATGAGGCAGATACTACACAATACTTACGGTTTGAACACAACACAAACGCCAGGACTCACTGCAAATTACACAACAATCCACCACGGGTTTAGGTGAACACAGGGAAAATGAACTGAACCCAGGAGCGATTTTATACCAAAGAAAAAAAAAAACAGTGTCCTATATTTTTACATAGAGACATTCAAATCTGCAGGAGAAATCACAATTATTGAATTATAATTTCTGAGATCAAATGTCTAAAAAAAAAAGACTGATTAAAGGTTGAGATGACACATTTTACATTATACGAGGGTTTTTGTACTTAAAGTGATAGTCTGGAACTCTAAATGAATTACACATTTTAAGAGTTGTATTAAATTGACATGGCCTTAAATGTTGATATAAAATAAGTCATTTTATGAATTCTATTATTACAGGTAAGTCCCGCCTTCCCATCTCTTAGCTATAGCTCAAAATCCACAATGCCGTCTACTTTAACCAATAAAGTGATGCCAAGGGCTGTCAGTCATCGGCACTCATGCTCGTATATCCATAATCATATCCTCTGCAGGTGTGTCCTAAAATGTTCAATCAATGATAATAGCTACTTCCGGGTTTACCGCGATCGCTTTTTTTGTGCATTAAAACATTATTTTTGTCATGAAAACGTTTTTTCTGAAAACCTCCGTGCATGTGTATTAGTAATGTATATAATGTGTTCTCTGATTGACATTTAAATGTATTGATTGATTTTTACGGAAACGTAGGCGTAGACCAATCAGAAATGAAGGGGGAGGAGTTTGGGTCGTTTTTTATTTTTCAAATCATGTACCTCTCTCTCTTTTTTCTGACAAACTCCAGACAATCACTTTAAGTCTTGCTTCTTGATCATGTTAAAGTTGGAAATTCTACACTTCTTTTTATGCTAAAGATAGAGATTGTATACTGCTTCCTTTTATGCTAGCGTTAGAATTTTAATTTTATTTTAGTATAGAGTTATTATTGATTTATCTTGTGCTGTGTGCTCCTCATTCCTACTGTTCTGTAACTTGTGATGCAACACTTAAAATTCCCCACTGTGGGACAAACAAAGAATCTCTTAATCATTACATGTTATATTATGTACTTGTCTTCACACATATAGAGAGTTTATGTTCAAGCCTATAGTTTCCTTCCCGCTCCTCTTCCATGTCCAGGATCTTCTTATAAGCGTATGTTTGTTTAAAGCGGCTGCCCACAGAGTATTTCTCTTCTCAGGCCGCGGTGTCAGAAGTTGCGCTCCAAACTCCGCAGGGGGCTTCGCAGTAACGACCTCGCTCCAAACTTCAGAGCTTCAAACAGCGGCCATCTTGTTCTCTCTCGTAGGTGAAGAGGCCCTGGAATCCCATAAAATGCTCACGTCACTTTTGTCTATAGGCATTTCCTCTTTTGGGTTTCTTTGTTTGTGTTTGAAAGTGCGGTTAAAAAAGGAGAGCACTGCGGACCGGTTGGAAGGTGTTTAGTGATGCTGAACGGACTTGGATTTGAATCGTGTGGAAAGGAATGGGCTGAAGTTTACTGGTGTAAATAGAATAGCATTTTAATGATACAGTTCTTACAGTTGGGAATATAAATATTTTTGGTTGAGTATTTTTTTCAAATTCCAAGAAATGCTAGAACAACAAGTATGTTTTGTCTTAAGTTAATTCACCCTCAAAATGTATGACACAGTTAGGCAAGTGTTCTCCTGCAGTTTGTTAGACATAGATTCAATTCAATGCATTTGTGTATAGCCCTAAACCACCACAGCAGTCATCTCAAGGGACTTTTACAAAGCTGTCGATTCCTCAACAACTTACCAGAGAATTGGTTTGAGCTCAAGAAACAATAACAAACAATAACCAATATCACTGTACTCAAGCCCTCCTGTATCGACAAAGAACAACAATGGACGCACAGGCTATAGACCCAGGATCTAACCCAGGGCTAGATCTGAATGTTGTCTGTGTAGTTGATTAAACCGACCCTACAGCAGCAGCAGTTGGAACAGAAGAGGTCCCAGGATCGACCCTTGTGGCACTCCACAGGTCAAATGCGCAATATTAGTTTGCCTGTTTCTTATCCATGCTCTTAAGGTTGTCTAGTGTTCTCCATATTTGTACTACTACATATAAATCGGACATTAAAAAAGGACATTTCCGGATGAGATTCTCTAAACACAATTTAGTAAATCTTGACGGTTGTGCCTTAGTTTACGTATTTGTATTTGCATTGTGAGCAACGGACTTAAATTGGGCTATAGTGTTGTTGCAAAGTGCTTCAGTGTCAATTTAATTTTAGTTTAATGCATTGGAATGGTTGTCAAATCCGCTCAACAATGCAAACCCATAAAGCAAAATCGTACAAAAATAATAAACAGCATGCAAGTAAATCTCAGAGTGGTTTCAAATTCCAGGTAACCCCAAACCTGTTTTATGTACCCGCCACCAGCCTGTGTGAGTTCCCATGCCCTACCGTTCGTGTGTGTCATATATCTAAAGTCCCGCTCTGCTCCTGGACTGAGTGAGTGCTGCTGTGTGGCTGTGGGCGCCAGGGCAGGTCTTCTTGCATTTCTACCCCCAGATCGGTGTGTGTCTTTGGGGCAGTGGTGTCAAAGGTGTGGGGTGAAGGATGGGGAGTCAGGAAGATGGAAGGCCTTGAAGTGGTGACATGGGTGAGGGTCTATGGGTCTCTGGGAATGCATAGAACAAAGTAAAACCCATAGGGAACTTGATACAGTACTTAAACATTCACCTAATTTAATTTACAACTGGCAACACAGCAAGATTAATAACATCCTTACTGCACAAATGCTGCTACAGTAATGTACATGCACGAGCCATGTTGACAGCACGGTCACGCCAACTCTATGTGCAGATCCAAAACGCAGTAGTAAAAGGCTATTTGGAAACGTGATCTCACCGCAAAAGGAGTACAAAAAGTTGACTGTAAACCAATAGAGATTTTCAGATGCAAAGTTTAGCAGCTCATCCATAGAGATTTATATTAGCAAAAATATTGTACAAGTTCATCAAACAGGCATACTGATGAACTGCTGGTTTTGGGTGAATACTGGTAAATACATTTTGTTTAATTTAATCTACAGCTAGAATATGCTTTGTTGTGATACTTCAATTTCGAACTAAACAGGCCTATTTAGGTTTCAAGAAAAAAATTAAAACACACTTTTTCTTGTTTATATAGTTTTTACCTTTTTATGATAGTGAAGAAAATGACAAAAGATGGGGGTCGTGTCCCAACAGAAGACATTTTATTGTTGGTAAAAAGACATGACTGAGTTTTGCAGCGTAATCGTGATTTTTAACCAGACCAATCAAGAACGCTCCTTTTAGCATCTGCCACGGCGCCGATAGATGTTTTAGCTTCGACCTTCAGAAAACCAAAACATCAAACATGAACGCAAACATACAGCTTTCAACAAATAATGATTAAAATAAATTAAAAATTGCGTTAAATGTAAAGTGTGAATTCAGCCAGCCCTCTGAAAAATATGGTTCTTGTGAAAAATAAGTTGAATAGCCACATTTTTAAATACCATAAATATATTTGTACTTTTAAAATTATTACTTTCTCACTGAAATTGTAAGTATGTGGATTGCCTACCCCAAATTTCAGGCTTCTTGACTGCAACGTGGAAAAACTCAACTCTCTCATCTGTGTGGCTTGGTCCTGTCAAAGAAATTACCTACTTGTCAAGATTTTGAAGTAAATTTAGCATGAATTTCTTTTGAATTTTTAGAATTTTCAACAAAGGAGAAGGCCATACTCTTCTCCTACTGTTTTATAGCAGACATAGCAACATGACAGACCTGTTTAGAAAAGATCGCTGCAAGGGCCAAACAGTCTTACCATCTTCCATCAATGCCTGATATACAAAATAGTCCAATCATTTAATGCATTATGAATATGAATTGGACGTGCAATAGGTTTTAGTGCAATACTATAAGTGCAATATCGGTCAGTGCAATAACGTGAATACATTGTCCTTGTTTTGTGCTGTTGTTGATACATATTTATACGAAGAAGAGTCTATCCACTGTCCATGTCCAGCTGTTTTGTTGTATTTTGTCTGTGTATAAAGTGTCTGCTTACTTTCAAACCACAAAAATGGAACAGTGTAATAATATCCATCCAACTAGTGCTTCTTCTCAAACTCATTTTCAGATTTATATCAGTTTTCTCACACAGAAAAGAGAAAAAGAGACGTCCAGCCATACTTATAATAAAATAAAAACAGCATGTTGGGGTCTGATTTTTTTCACCACGTTTTACACTTTCTGTTGTGACAAAAATAATATATATGAAGAAAAATATGAAAACATAAAGTGTTACATATTCAGAATGACAGCTACTAATGCTACCAACCATTATTCTGCATTATTATTTGGATTGTGATTCTAGAGTGTTTTGTTTATTCCCGTTGAGCTCATGTAGAAGTCCATAAGTCCTCCTCCCTCCGTCTGCAGTGATGTGAGTGTGAATGGACATGAGGGAGTGTGCGTGGGTGCAGCATCTGGCCTTGTGTCTGCGTATTGTTATATGCATGCTCATGATCCCGGCCTGTCCGTCTGAGCTGGGCCTCCCCTGGGGCCCCTCCTGTCCGCTGAAAAGTGCACTGACGATCTTCCTCCTCCTTTTATCCTCTGCTCCGGGACGTCGCTCTCTGGCGGGACGGCTCCGTACAAACAGACGCTGCTGCGTTCGTGAGCCTCAAATCCACGCTTCCTCTGAAACTTCCAGCGCCGCTGCTTTCCTGTCCAAATTCCACAGCCGTTAAACTTTCCTGGCAGCATTTCAGCAGCTCAGGAGCAGGAGATAGAGGAGAGGGACCCGCCCTGCCATGCACCCCCAGGACTCCACATGTGTGATTGAATACTGAATACTGTGTGTGACTAATACACACACACACACACACACACACACACATTCACATTCACATACACACACACAAACACACACACACACACAGGCCTGATCACAGCATCGACACGGACTGTTTCAAAAGTACATACTGTACTGTAAGAACTGTACTGAGCTGGACACATGAAGTCAGGGATAATGTTCAACAGTTATTACAATCTAAAGTTATTACAATCTAAAGTTATCACAATCTAAAGTTATTACAATCTAAAGTTATCACAATCTAAAGTTATTACAATCTAAAGTTATCACAATCTAAAGTTATCACAATCTAAAGTTATTACAATCTAAAGTTATCACAATCTAAAATTATTATAATCTAAAGTTGCGTAAACAAAGTCTTTTTATTTTTCAGATGTTTTTTTTTTATCTCTGTGTAAAAATTTATAGAAAAAAACATTGGATGTAAGTAGTAATCAGATGAATATTAGTCAAATTACTTTTGAAAAGCTGTAATCAGGGATAAAACCAGAAAAACACTTGCAGAGCGCCTACCCCTGCCAAGAGGTGCAGATTAATTTAGTAAAAATAATCCTGGATCCAGATCGAGATCCACATCACCACCAAAATTGTATAATTTGTTCCTAATCCCATTTCCAAAGTTTCCCAAAAATGACAAATCTGGCCAGAACGTTGTGAGTTATGGTGCTGACAAACTAACAGACAAAAAAACTGCCAAAAAACACAACAACCACGGAAGTAATAAAAACATTGAATTTGCCCTTAGTGCTTCCCAAAATACTGGTGACATGGACCAACAACCACTGCTGTTTTTTTTTTTTTTTTTTTTACATCTTTAAACCAGGAAAAGTTAATTGCATCTTGTGTATTTACACAAATATGACCACAAAATCAAGTTTGTATTATTATTCTTACTCTCTGAAGCCCACTCTGCATTTGTGACTTCCATCTCCCCATCACCTCGCTCTCTCCCAGACGGTGCCCTTGTTGACTACCTTAAATAAAGATATGACTTCATAGCTCTGCTCAGGTTTCCGTCTGAGTGTCTACTACTTTTCTCACAAGGTCAAGACGGGGGCCCCCAAAGCACCCCTCCCCGTCTGTCCCGACGTGTCCCGTCCCATCCACTCACAGGCCCTTAGATATAAACCAGGGTTAGATTAGTGTAAGGTAAATACACAGTCTTTATGATGCTCGAACACAAACTGGCAGAGGGACAGCTGAGGGCCTTGGCTGCTACTGTGTTGGACAGATTCTCACTTTCTCACTTTCACTGGGGTGTGCCGGAGGTGAAGCATGCGGAGATTTAATGGACAATCCCAGTGCCACATCTGCTGCTCAGGGCATTCTGCTGTTTGTATTTGGTACATGGATTTACAACGACAAAAAGTAGAAAAAGGTTGTATGTGGTTGTTTCATTTACCTCAAGCTACAACAGAACAATAAACATGCTATTTACTGGTTATTTTGGTGAGAAATGGTCTCTATGGAAAGACATTCTGGAAATTATCAGAGCTGGGAATAAATCTTGTTTTGCTGATTGTACCTCGACCACTAGACACCACCATTTACCATTTTCCAATGTACTTACTGCAACATTCTCGGTCAGGATCATTTCTGAATCAACAAAACCAAATTTGTTTTTCTCTCCAGGCGATTTTGATGAGTTGTCTCAGAACTTCCTCCACAGAAAAGAAAGTAGAGAAGGTGGCACATTTTTCTGTCTGCCCTTTAAACTACAAACCCTAAACTCTGGTGTAGGGCCTTGAACTTTCTCTTTGTCACCTTCCTCCTGTATTATCTTTTTTACGATCCCAAATCCCCACAGATTTAGAGGGCAGACCAGCTGCTTGGACTTGTAAAAGGCTGAGGAGGATTGATGAAGACAGAAGTGTGACTTTGTGTGTGTGTGTGTTGCGTGTGTGTGTGTGTGTGCATGTGTGTGTCAGGGTGCAGGACGATAGACCAGACTAAATAGGAACAATCTGGACGTCCTGTGTGAGAGGGATGACAAAGTGTGGGGAAAGGAGAAAGACCTTGTTAAAATGCAATAGGAATCAATATGGCTGAACACAAAATGATGTACTGTAAGATGAAATATTCTAATTTAATGTATGGACTAAGTGTATGTTCCATTGTTTTTTTCTGTGGGGATGTCCTATGGTCCTGAGAGTTGGACAAAGTAACTTGAATATTCACTGGATGACATTTGCAGACAGTGCACAGGAATAAGGGGGAAACAAAAAAAACCTATACGCATCAGCTTAAAACAGATGCTGGTGTTACTAAAAGAAGAGCAGGAAGTCAAGCCCAAACCCAATCCAATCCTGACTAACAGCCCGGCCCAGAGGAAAGTCCTGGGCCTCAATAAAAAGATTGATTAGTCTTAGAAGATTGATAAGTTGTCTTTCTTACAAAACATCACTCCAACCACACAGCTGACTCTCAACCTAAAACAATTGTGCAAACTTTCACCAAAGCTGCAGAATTTAACAGTGATATGTGAAATGGAAGATGTCCGCCGCCGATTACACTTACCTCTTGAGACATGACTGAATCCTGCAAGGACCATGTACTGTTGGTGAGGAGTGGACTGCTCATGATCTCATTAAAGTAGAAGAGGCCAATTAGCGTTAGCTCTAGCATTTGAACGGGAAAGTGGAGCCAAAAGTATGCATTTTTTTACGCTCTTGGTTTAAGTTACCGAGAGCCAATCAGGAGCAGCACCGGCCTGTCCCCACTCACGCTACTCACTAACTAGAGCCGAATTCGGTGACAGAAGGCTCCTGATTGGTGGGTTGTTAGGGCTCATGTTATTTACAAAGACAATATCACCAAATAGGCAAGGCAAGGCATGGCATGTTTATTTGTATAGCACAATTCATACACAAGGCAACTCAAAGTGCTGAACAAGATAGCATTAAAATCATAAATAATCACAGAACATTAAAAAGAAAGATAAAAATATAAAATCCCTCAGTTGTATGCACAGCTAAACAGCACAGTTTTTAACTTGGTTTTAAACATAGTCAGAGAGGAGGCCTGTCTCACATCTTCAGGAAGAATGTTCCAGATTTTAGCAGCATGAATCTGAAAAGCAGCCTCCCCATGTTTAGTTCTGACTCTGGGCACTAACAGGAGTCCAGTCCCTGTGCTCCTCAGAGTCCGGGCTGGTTCATATGGGACTAACATGTCACTAATATATTTTGGTGCGAGGCCATGGAGAGACTTGTACACAAGCAAAGCTGTTTTAAAGTCTATTCTCTGAGCCACAGGAAGCCAGTGCAGAGACCTGAGGACCGGACTAATATGGTCGTACTTCCTGGTTCTAGTCAGGACTCGAGCTGCTGCATTTTGAATGTACTGCAGCTGTTTTACAGCCTGTTTGGACAGACCTGTGAGCAGGCCATTGCAGTAGTCTAACCTACTGGAGACAAATGCATGGATAAGAATCTCCAAGTCTGCTTTAGACACTATGTTTTTGATCCTGGAAATGTTTTTTAGATGGTAAAAAGCTGCTGATGTTACTGATTTGATGTGGCTATTAAAATTTAAGTCTGAGTCCAGTATTACCCCTAGATTTCTGACCTTGTTTGAAGGTTTTAGGGAGAGAGACTGTAGATGACAGATGACGCTCTCTCTTTGTTTCTGGGGATCAAAGACAATCATTTCAGTTTTGTCTGCGTTTAGCTGAAGGAAGTTGTTTTGCATCCACTCACTGATCTGTTGGATACAGTGAAGGAGTGAGTCCACTGGTCCATGTTCTCCTGCAGTCAGTGAGACATAGATCTGAGTGTCGTCTGCATAGTTATGATAGGAAACTTCGTTTCTTTGTATTAACTGACCTAACGGCAGCATGTAGAGATTGAAAAGAAGAGGTCCCAGGATCGACCCCTGTGGTACTCCACAGGTCAGGGCCATATGATCTGAGACACAGTTTCCAATCTCCACAAAGTACTTCCTGTCTTCAAGGTAAGACCTAAACCAACTTAGGGCGGTGCCAGCGACTCCAACCCAGTTCTCTAGTCTCTGTAAGAGGATCTCATGGTCGACAGTGTCAAAGGCAGCACTCAGATCTAACAGGATTAGGATTGAGACTTTGCCTGCGTCAGTGTTTAGCCGGATATCGTTTGTAACCTTGACGAGAGCAGTCTCAGTGCTGTGGTGGGGTCTAAAGCCGGACTGAAACATATCAAATGAGTTGTTGATTATAAGAAATCTATTTAGCTGTTGGTAGACAACTTTTTCAAGGACTTTCCCCATAAATGGAAGATTTGAGATGGGACGGTAGTTGTTAAGTACCGTAGCATCTAGACTGCTCTTTTTAAGCAGGGGCCTGATGACTGCAGTTTTCAGGGCCTTTGGGAATATTCCAGAATGAAGGGACATGTTTACTATCTGTGTGAGTGAAGGTAACAGACTGCTCAGAACAGACTTTAGAAATCTAGTGGGTAGTACATCCAGGCTACATGTGGAGGCGCTCAGACTGGAGATTATCTCTTGGACAGTTTGATCATTTACAGGTGCAAAGTAAGTTATCTCAAAGAGCCTTTTAGGCTGTTGGATGGTTATCTGTGGATTGGAGACAATGGCGTTTTTGATGCCTTGAACCTTGTCATTGAAAAAATGTGCAAACTCATTACATTTACGTTTGGAAGTTAGCTCTAATGGCATCTGAACAGGGGGGTTTGTTAATCTATTAACTGTTGAAAACAGAACACGCAGATTGTTGCTGCAGCCTTCAATCATTTCAGAAAAATACCTTTCTCTCGTGCTACGTAGCACCTGGTTAAACTCGCACAACTTATCTTTGAAGATCTCGTAGTCAACCTGGAGGTTGGACTTGCGCCACTTCCGCTCGGCCCTCCGGCACTCTCTCTTTTGTGCCCTGACCGA